ACACACACACACACACACACACACAGCCTTCCACTGAAGTATTGCGAGTAAAGATGAGCACAGACAAATACAACAATTACCGTATTTGGAGTTTTAACTGATGTATTTTTCAACTTTTTCTGAGGTATCTCATCCTCTTCATCATCGTCATCGTCGTCATCGCTGAGGAAGAGTTCATGTCATTTTTAAGAATTAAATGACCTTCCGGAGTTTGAAGAGCAAAACCTAAAATGCATGGACTATCACGCCTCCAGATCTGTGAATTTGACATTGACGGTTTTGGTTATTTGGAAGTTGGTCGCCAACAGTTAGCTGGGATTATTGTTGAAGCCAAAACATAAACTCGATGACACATAAGCCAAAAATAGCTATATTAACATTACGGAAAATCATATATAAATAGTGTTATGATACTTGTTAAGAGCATGCTATATCTTTAGTTATTTCTATAAAGAAAAAAACCGAAAAACTATGGGATTTACTCATCTTGGCTTGGGTGCACAACACATCGTTGTCTTGGCAACCAGCCTCACTCATGTTAGATATGACCATGAAATCTCACATTTCTTGCAGTAACTTAAACGTTACTGTTAATTTTGCATTTTTAATACAAGTATTACTTGTAAATTTTTCCATTTGCTGAGATTTTCAGCCCCCAGCCCTCATGAATGTACAGCACAGTAAATGTACACGCATGTAAAGTATCCATTCATCCAACCATCAGAACAGTCTTAACATTTATCAAAAGCCGTACTCATCATCATCTTCATCATCATCATCATCATCGTCATCTTCATCTTCATCGTCGTCCAGCTTTATTTTTTTCTGCAGAGGGATGAATCACACAGCTTGGTTAAGGTTTACACTGATCCCTCACCAACATGGTTGCTATAGCAGGCTTAGCAGGAAACGCAGCAGAAAGATTACAGCGCCAAAAAGCATGTTGAACGTGGCTATTAAATCACAGACACTGAGGAAACGGGCACTTATGTGAGCAGACAAGCAGTTTATCTCCTGTCACATGGGACTACTTAGCTTTGCCTTATTGTGCCAGAACAAATTAAAAAATAAAAAAATTAAAAAAAAACACATTTGAAAACTGGATGGTACAACTGCAACAGCAGTGGTGCCACATTAATAACGGAACTGAGGGTACAATGACTGTGGTCACGTGGTTCCGCACGGTTTCACTGACCAGGACGTGAGGCCTTACCGGCATGGGAACCTTTCCCGAACTTGAAGGCCTCTTCATAGGCGACGTGTTATTTTCTTCCTCCTCTTCATCCTCGTCCTCTTCATCATCAGATTCCTTTACACCTTACATTTCAAATGAAAAGAATTAAATCACACGCATCCCACCACCAGCGCCCAGGAGGACAAAGGCAGTTGGGATTTATGCCGTAATAAACATGCAAATGAGGAACGTCTTGGGGTTGGGAGCGTTACTCAGTCTCATGCCACCAACTCCCCTTCATTTGGCTTTAATGCAGCCATTTCTGGGCTGAAACACTTCTTGAAGTTAACAGAGACATGGTGAGAAATTATGCTTTAGTGCTACTTCCTGAAAGCAACACGAGCAAACAATGCAAAACCTTCTTAGCCAGTAAAACCTGATACACATACATAAGGTTTTTTCTTATTCTTTTTATTTTAAATATTACTTGAAAATGGGACCAGCTATGACACTGGGTATCATACTGCAGCACGGGACATGGGGCTAAACTGATAACGTGCCAGAAAGGACGTATGCATCCTGAGAGATTAAACAGAACTAGCAAAATAACATTAACTTACTGACAAAGTGCTGGCCGCTGATGTAGACGGGCCCGGGGCCAGACTTGAGCCGAAATGTGACGGGGGGTGTGACCTCGAACCCCCCCAAATTCAGCTGAACGTTCGCAGGGGGAGAAGGGGAGACTCGCATTAGCTCAGGGCAGTTTGAAGGGTGTGATCGATGGCGCGAAATCGCAGCAGCAAGTCGCCCACAGCTTCCACCTGGAGCTGCGGAACCATCCGGACGTCTGAAGGCCAACCAACCACACACACAGAAAACTGAACCAGGTAGGTGGGTGGGTGGATGGATGGATGGGACAGCCAAGCACCCAGAACTCAGCCTTATATGCATCATGGGAGACCAAGATAACCTCCAAACAGACAGACATGAAAAATACCAACAAACACCTAACAAGGAGTGACAACATTTTTGAAGTTTCTTACAATTTAACGCTCAATTAACCATTTCACCCTGAACACTCCTAGCCTTTGTTTAACACACAGTGCGTGGAATAATGAACGCATGCAACTTAAGGCCATATCCAATTTCATGCCAGTCTGCAGTTTATTAAAAAGATAATTACTATATTTTTATGCCCCATCATGGGGGAAAACACTCCCCCCCCCCCCCCCCCCCCACCGTGCAATCTGAATCACTGACGCCATCAGAAATTAAAGCGGGCTTACAGTCGGCCATCTCCGCTGCCACGCCAATTAAAAAAAGACAACGTAGTCAGGTGGTGGTCCGGCTGGTTACCATGGTGACACAGGTCAACCACCATCAACCTTTCCATACAACAATTGACTCCTCCCAATCCACCAAATTACGATCCTCCACAACAGGTTTTCCCTCTCCCCACACTTCCATTAACTGCTCAAGATACTGCAGTAAGTTTCTCATATATCTAGTTCCTCAAACATGAAACAATCGAAAGCAAAATAATGTTCAGCATCATGCAGCACCGGCTTAAGGTCAGTGCTGCTAACATTTACACATTTTACCATCCATCCACCTTCTATACCCAGTTTCAGGGTCACAGGGGTCCGGAATCTATCCCAAAGGCTACGGCACAAGGCGGGGAATAATCCAGGGTGGGGCACCAACCTTTCAGTAGTATGCATTTTGTGGTTAAATGAATTTAAAGCTCTTTTTACAGTCACAGAGCTCAATCTTCCAATCATAGCAGACACACAGAATGCAACATGGGTGACATTCAGAGGTGCTTTCAGTTCACCATGGGAAAGATCTAGAAGGTGATCAGCTGGACGTTCCAGGCTGGGAAGGGTTCCTCTGAGTGCCCTCGAATGTGACGGAGCTGTATGGTTTTAGCTGGGATTTGGTGGCTAGCACTCACAGAAGGAAGTACGGACGGCTTCAGGACAGCCAGCTGCACTTTGCTCATTTTTCCATCGAAGGTCATACCCTCCATCTCCACCATGTTGAAGCGATCCTCCGCTTGTGCTCCCAGACATACCTGCAGGCCTCAAGCACACAGAGAGAGTCCTGACATCAGCACCAGCTGAGTGGGTGTCACTGTCGATCAGGCCACGTGGAGGATAATCCCACTAACAAAGGACACGCAGTGTGAGAGTGGCAATTTTAATAACCGTCAAACTAATTTATCACAATAAAACAATACAAAAGCAATCTGCTAAGGTTGGACTTTAGACATACTGACATCAAGGACTACAGATCCTGCACAGAGAATCGCGTGCACTACAAAACGCCCACTACGGACCCCAGTGCACAAGGGAAAGAAACACACATCCGACGAGCGTATTATTAAGGCAAAAACAGTGACAGGGACCCTGTGGCAGTTACCCAGTAACTTCAGCCCCACCGTTTTGAGTGACAGCTGGTGCTCAGTCTCGTCATCGTCGTCCGCTTCGATCTTGTACTCCTTCTTGTCTGACTTCAACTCGCAACCTGAGCAAAGCAGCAATGAGACCAGAACCACGTAGCCTAGCAATTATTATACATCTCTTCAGTTCACGATGCGCCAACACGGGGACTAGAATTTCAGAAATTCCGAAGCAAGACATGGTTTGTAAAAATACTGAAAACTGAAATGTAAAGAATTCGACATGTTTTTAATCTCACATTCTGTTAATACCATAAAATACACCTTTGCTGAGACTCCAATTACCACAATACCCTGGTACTCGACAGGGGGTAATATCAAATCTTTCAGCTGTCATACGATATAACTAACAAACCAAGAACCTCTGGACAAGAACTTTGAAGAGAAACCAAAAAAAAATGGACGTTACATTTTACAATTATAATTCGCCTGATATTAATAACACACTAATAACAGGAAAAATATCTCATGTTACTACAGCTTTTGGAGGTGTTGGATAGTGCACCATAAATGCATGATATTGGATTAGCTTTCAAACGCTCTTCTGTTTAAATGATGTAAATATGTATGTTCATTTCCCCAGCCGGTCATCGGTTGCACGCAGATACGGATATAAAGATGTGGATGTAGCATGTAATCAGTAACATGGAGGAGTGATGGTGTCGTTTTCCTTATTCAGCCATAATGCTGGGGTGGGATGTGAAGCAGAAGCGCACCGACGCCGCGGCCCTTCGTCTCTAATTCGCGGATCGCAAAGCGCATTTCGCAGCTTTCCTCACCGAACAGGTACATCTGCGGCCTGAACACGTCCGCGCTGCTGTCCTCCGCCATCTTCGCAGCATGGGCGCCGAGCCGCGGGGGGGCTTCTGCGGAAAGCGCAGCCGGGACCGGGGAAATGCGGGGCCCGGGCGGAATGACAGGCCAGCCCGCGAATGAGGGCGTCCGGACGGGGATCACGACGGCAGCGCGGCCCTATGGAGCCGGAGCACGGGCAGGCGGAAGGGGAAGCCGCTGTCTGAGCCGAAGGCGTCGCTTTGCATTGAGGGACAATGAGATTAATCCAGTTATATTCGCTACGCGACGTTTTAATGGTAAAGGGTCCGGGAGCAATGCGGGGCGTAGATGGTGCGTGTTTCACACCCGGCTTATGTATTGCATCCGATTGCATTTAACTTTTGTGCACTATTGCAAGGCCTTTATTAAACGACAACAATGCAACGTGGATGTTGTGTTTTTCTTTTACAAATATTCTTAAAAACCTAACATATAAAAGTTCAAAATCGCAACATAAATTGTGTGCACGTGTAATTTATTCAAAATTATCAACCTGATAAATGCTAAAAGTGGAAGTACTGTACAAAACACGGATATTGTTAAAGTAATAGGGTTAATTTATTAAAGTAGTAGATGAAGTTACTTCCTTTGAGGGATAACATGTTTGACTTCCCTAATAATGAATCATTTTCATGTTATTCCATTATGTTACATCTCTACACCCACATTTTTGACGAAAAAAGACAAGTTCTCATTTTGAAGTCCCAGCAGCTGACAGGAACATAGCTAATCATTTCCCCCTCAATGTATCGGGGATATTTTTTATTACTATTTTTCTGTTTTTATTGGAAATGTGATACTGTAGCACTGTAGGGGAGAGAGCATATTAACATACAGGAACGGCTGTAATCACACAATTTTCGCACTTTTTTCTCAGTATTTCATTACAGCGCCCCAATATGTGGGAATGGCGAGCAAACCTGTGCGATGCTGATGATTCTGAAGGTGGGGGGCGCATTTCCAGTCAGCACTTCTCACACCCCCGTTCTGAACTGGCTACGTTAATAAATAAAACAGTTTTCTCTACAAAAGTACTTCAGCTGGTCTCATTTCAGCAGGGTGGAGGATGGCTGACCATAACCATGCTTCACCTTGATAGTCGGAGCTGTAGCCTTTAGTCACTCTATGCAGATGTAGATTGTGACCTAATTTTAATTACTATAAAATCGGAATACATCCAACTTTAGTCCTTCGGTGTATTTTTTTTAACTCATTTGTTTATGTATGCATGTTTAAATGCCTGTAGTTTTCGTATCAGACTAATGAAATATTATTGCACCTGTTAATATAAAGTTATCCAACAGATGGAGCCACTTGACAATTTTTTTCCCCGAATTTCTTTTCCCAGAAAATTGGTTAAGGGAGGAAAGCGGCGTTGCTAGACGCCTCTCCAATGTATTGTGAAATACGGCCTTCGTGTAACACGTACATCACGTACCTATTTATACGCAGAGTTTATGTTACATTGAACAACTCAGAAAAACTGGCGCCGTTTGATTATATGACTAAATTAAAAAGAATTTGCTGATTTAAAACTAGACAATATATTTTAAACATTTTATGTTTATATTGTGTTAAATGCCTCTTTACCTATAACCTTTAAAGACAAACACTAAAACCTGTAAAACCAGGCTTTGTACGAGTTTATACGAAGAGCAAATTCCGTAATACCCAAAAGCAGCTCAATTGCTTTGTTAATAACTCATCGTATTTCTCCAAAGCTAGTCTAGGAACCTGTCCTAACATATTTTTCCTGTTATATACTATTTTCTCAGACACGATTAAAAAAACAACTAGTCAAAGTGAAACACATAACCACCCAGCAAAAGCAGTATTTTAAATGCAACTATAATGCTCCTCATATAGACTCCTTTGAAGCTTTATTATTTTCTTTGTTTTATTTACAGCATTGTTTATGCTCTGTATCAGTATACTCCCGTGTCACTTTTCCACGTTGACTAAGACGGTGTGAAACATTGCTTTATGCGAGTAATGATTTGGACTAATGATCTGCATGCAGGTCTACGGGGGTGACACATATCCGCCGATGGTGCCTGGCGAAGCACATGCTGGTTTTAAGAAATGTCCAGAGGTGCAGGCAGGCAGGCAGCGTGACGCTCTTACAGCTTTTATGTTCACCGCTGCTGCTTGCCTGCCTTCGGTGCGGGCAGGACCCGAGCCGCCACCTGTCAGCGGGCCGCCACGGGCAGTCAGCGTGAAGGGCGGCGGAGGAGCCGCTCCGCGACCGTCAGCAGGCGATGCGGTGATTTAATTCTGCCACTTGCAGTTGCATATCCAAAACTAAAGGATGGTGTTTAATTGTCCGACTTGGAAACGTTGTTAGGATAGTTATCAGTCTACAAACATTAAACAGTCAAGCCATATTGCGCTGTGTTAAGACCGGACAGACGCGTTAATAGAGTTTAATGTAGGCCTACATAGGCTAGCGTGTATTCTGTGTTTTGGGTTGTTGCATTGTAAATGATTGGAGCTGATAATACAGTATTTAAACCTTGGTCATACTCACCAATGTCTAATTTGCCCGTATCTTAGTAAAATGACTATGCATATGTACTTTGATGTATGTCTATGTAAAATCTTTCAAGGATACATTGTACATTTAAAATATGTATTTTAAAAAAATACATTTGTATCATTCAATCATTGTTATTAATAACGTAGGTAAGAAAGAAATGTGCTCATAATAACCTTTAAAATGCCCCAATTTTATATCTCATATATACAGTGTGTGTGTGTGTGTTTGTGTGTGTATATATTCCTTTGCATCTGACTTATTTAAATAATTTGATTTATCCTCAGTTGCAATGCAAAGACTCAAACCATCCAAAACTGGAATATTACTGTGTAGAGCGGGTTGAGTAGGGCGACCATATTTTGCTTTGCAAAAAAGACAACACCAACATCAGGACTCAAAGAGCAGCGTCAAAGAAGCACAAATATGCACTCAGAAAGAATTCTGACTGTTGAAAACGATTGTCAGCAGGAAACAGTGACATTCCGTTCATTTCAGACATTTTTAGGTCCTAAAAAAGGTGATAAGTCGGGGAAAGAGGTGCGATTCTCTGTGCAGGATCTGTAGTCCTTGATGTCAGTATGTCTAAAGTCCAACCTTAGCAGATTGCTTTTGTCGGGGAAAGTCGGGGTTAAGCAACATTAGCATTGTAAATTCAACAGTACCTTTTGTTTAGCAAGTGGATCACACGTTTAATTTACGTTTGTACTTCCTGTGTGGTGGAATTTCTCTAGATAGGATTTTTTTTTCTCTTTTTTTCCCTCTGAAGAATATGATTAAGGGACACCACCAAACAGATCTTAAAGCACCTGTAGCAAAGCACAAAGCACCGTTTTGTAAACAAGGCTAAGGAGGAATTCTGCTGAAACGGGCCGGGTCACGTCGGCACGGCGGCTGAGAGAGGCGGATGAGCGATGGCTGATAGCTGCTGGAGGAAATGGGGGCAGAGGTGGGCGTCTTCTGGAGCCCTGCCCGGCACTGAAAGGATCCCAGCCAGCCGCAACACCCCAGTCGATGGGGAAAAACACACTCCCTGAGCTGAGAGAGCTGTGCTGTTTACAAGAGCAATTCTTGGCTAGATGTTCAATATCCAGTGGCAAGAAGCCATGGATAATGCAAGCTGTTCAGAAGACCATGAATCTGAAGTATATCTGGAATTTTATATACAATTTGAAGGGAACTCAACTAACATGCAAAGACATATATTGAATAAATATAATTTTCAGAATATATATATTTTTTGTATTATGTTTTGAATACTGTGAATTCCTTAAACTCTGCAGTGTAATCAAAGACCAGATTTGTTTTAAAAACAAGAAGAAAAAAAAATCAAAAATTAAAGTTAGCTGTCTGTCCGATCTTCTCTGTTCATCTTCAAAACAGGTATATTGGTAATATTGATTTAGTTACCTTTTCAGAGTGTTTTATTAACCTTGTCTACCTGTGACCCCACTATGGCACACCCAGGATATAGATGGAAAAAACGTATTCTGGCTTCACAGCCCTCGTTTGATGAAGAAAACTCTCTGGTCTGCTGGTTTCAAGACAGCTGTGCTAGAGAGCGAGTGGTGAATGATTCAGACGGGCTTTTGCTAAGACGACTATCCAGTCGAGGAGCGGAGAGGAAATTAACGATCTTTGGGGGCTTTCAGAATCACGCAGTAAGGGTTAGCTTGTCATGTTTTTTTCCCCCCCTTTTTGGTTCATTGCCGGTAATACTTTATCATTTAAAATAATTATGTGATATATAACGAGGTAGATTAACCTTTACAAACATTGTAACTGCGCCCAGTATTATAATAGATCACTATCACACCCAGATGGTGGAGATTGATCACTTCTGTCCAGTATGCCACTCTGAGTCACTCTGTGGCCGAGCAGTTCTGAATAAGTGTGACGGGTGGCAGAAACCTCTCCCCGGCCACCAGTCCACCACCTTCCCTGTGTGTCTCCCGCTGAAATCATTCCTCGGTCTGTAAGCCATTTAGAAGCTGTCAGGGTTTTAAGATAGATTGATGGTTCACTTCCATATGCAGCCATATGTCACAATATGGATTCTGTTACAACCGTTACCTTGCAGATACTGAACTTCTGTCTTTCCACCAAATGCATTAATCAATACAATTTTTTTTTTGCTCACAGCAACTATAATTTATCTGAAGCACTTTTAATAACTTGTAGCCATGGAAACTCCAAATTGATAGAACGAGGGTTATACTTATAAAGAGGAAACAAGGAAATGACTTTGATTCATGCCTCATATCCCATAGCAAAGACTACAGGAAGGAAGGAATGAGAAAATGGATTTTAATCCTGTGTGTGCTGCAGATTTTAAGCTGCAATGTTCAGCCCTAACCAATCCTCTTTTTGCTTGTTTAATGTTATTATGATGTTTTTTTTTGTGGTTATTTATTCTATGCTTGTGTATTGGCATTATGGCAGAAGTGCCAGGACAGACTGTAACTCATTTATGTGTTAGCTCTGATTTCACGTTTTTTCAAGAAAATAACAATCAGCTCTTTTGCTCAGTGTCCTGTTTGCACCAAAATTCCAAGGGTGTCTCAGTCGTAAACAGCAAAACTTGAAATATAAACCTGTGGTTTTGTTCAGAAACCAGTTCAGGACATTTGTGTACCACAATCCTACCAGTGTGCTACCTTAAAACCACAAGAAAGCACAGGAGAACCAATCTCCTTTATTTATAAATCATAAAATATGGCAGGTCTGTTCTTCTGAGTATGATACAATGATCGTTGAGAACAGCAGACTTACGATGAGGTTATAGTCAACATAAAATGATCCAGTGGAACATAATATAAACTTAAAAATACAAAAACAATAATCAAAAATTAAAATTAATTAGTAAGGCATGCTAATGTGATGAGAGATTTCAAAGTCCATATATTAATCTTTATTTAAAAGTGAATAAATATTTTCCTTTTTATATGCGGAAGTTCTAGGTAAGTGAAAATGCAAAAACATGAGTTGTAAAACATGATAGACAGTTCTTTTGGTAGTCAACTGAAAGTATAAAATGTCCATTTTTTCCCCCAGATTTCAATAGTCTATTGAACATCGAAGGGCTTTGAGTAAGGGCTGGATATCACAAAAAGAAAATGTTCGACTAATTTGCACAAGATATTTAATCACTGTGTTTGCGTTAGAAAATACATGTTACCGATATGGAAGTATGTGAGAGTCGGAAGGAGACCATCCCTCCGAGAGCAAATGGGGGCCTTTACAAGGAGAAAGGGCTCCTGATTGGCTGGCCCAGTGGTTTTCAGACCCACGACAAGCTGAGCTAAACCGTCGCACTTCCTACCGACGTCTGCCATGCGTCGCTGATTAGTGCTGATGAGCGTGAAGCCTCATTTCGTTGCTTGAAAGCTTCTGCACGCACTGCTGATGAACAAGCACAGCGTGCCCTTCACTCCCCCCCGGAGAGATTAGCCCAGATAGAGATGTTTTCCGACATTCAGCTATGGCGTTTCTGTTATGACTAACCGTGATGGCCCTTACGTTAAGCTGGGACAATAAGGTGTTTACGCTCTCTAACGTGTGGCACCGGGAAACTCCTCTTTGTAAACAACATCATGGCCCCTGCTTCCCTTCCCATCGAGCTCCTGCAGCTTACGGAGTAGTACAGCTAGTCACCATGGTGATGTAGAGTGGTACGAGTCTTCAGGAACTACGTTTTTTTTGTTTTGTTTTAACGAATCCCTGTTGTCATATCGGCTGGCCCAAATGGGTCAAGACATCAATGCGACTTTCCGATAAGGGTCCAATCTTCCTCGATAACTTTGTGTTTGTATATAAGGAGACGTACAGAGTGTTTTACACAAACAAGACTGCAGTGTTTTTTTTAAAACTGTTGCATCAGCTTACGACAGTGTGTGCGGGGGGTAGGAAACACCTATAATATCTTTCTTCTGGGGGAACCACAAAGAAATAAGAAAGTGGATACAATAAGGCTTTGATAGGATCTCAAAGTTTTGTATATATAAAAAAAACCTTAGATGGTTTGTCACGGTGAATCTGACGTGATTCTGTAGAAAAAGCCAATGTCTGTAAACCACACAAAGGTTTCAGAGATGACCGCGTCCGGACGGCCATTGACTTTACTGGCAGTTCCAAGCTCACACAAAATAATATCATGCATTGTACACGCCTCCAAAAAAAAAATGACAAAAGTAACAAAACTAATGCTGAAGGAAACAAACAAACACTTTGCAGTGGGCCAAAGTTAGTATTTCAGTCTTCTGGCAAGTGTTGACTGACAGGGAGGCGGGCCTCGGTGACGGGCATCTATCGGACGTGTCAAATTTCCCTGGTGACGAGGACAAAGCTGCTCCCTCGTCTAGACAGACCGCTGAAGGAAAAGTGAAAATGTCGAGTCAAGGTCATGTGTCAATACAGTCGGCAGATTCAGGTGTGGAAAATCACGTCGGTGTAAATGCAGAGCTTCCACTAGGAGACTTTCTCTACTACGTCCACTTTAATGGAACCCGACACGACACAAAATCTCACGTCCAGATCCGCCACACACGTTACAAAACGAAAAAAAAAGAACAGGCATTGCAGGGAATACACAAAGGATTAAATGGGAACGTGTCGTCCATCTATAAACGTCAGCACCTCTTTTTAACCCTAATGCGGCAGAATAACCCCCCGAATGAACATGTGACACGTGGCGTTGTGTTAGCTCCAGTCCAGTTACGTCTCTGAAGCGGTGGGAAAACGACGCGATGAGAATGGGACCCCCGTCCAAAACACGTCGTCACATGGGCCTCTCCTGTGTGCGCCAGTGAGCGTTCGCTTCGGACGCCCTACCGTTTCTGCCAAAAAAAGACACCCCCCCTCACTTGGTATGTCCCCCTCCCTGCTGCCGCCTGGGTTAAACCACCGACGCGACAGAGGTGACGGAGGTCACCTTGTTGTCTTCAGCCCAGGGCTGTAGGTTCTGCAGGGCGTAGAGTGATGAGTTGTGCAGGCACAGAGGGTCCTGCTGCAGGGGCTGGCTCAAGGTTTTCTGGAATGCTTCTTGCTGGAGCTGTAGCATCAGCCGGTTAGCTTGCTGCCTCTCTGCCTCCCGTTCTTCTGCTGTCTGCCTCCTAGTGGTGGGAGGGGGAACAACAACAACAAAAAATCATTTTTGTTGTTTCCTCTTTCTGTCCTGTATGCAGAACGTCTTAAAAAAAACACCTTGTTTTAATGATGTAAAGAAATTCCAGTTATAAATCACAATACACTGTGCATGCTATAGATATCACCTCTGGTTTTTTTTCAGACATTTCCCATTACGGCACATGTTGTACTTGTACTAATGCAGTTTTAAAGAGATGGAACAGAAAACCTAAGCAAAAAACTCAACGCAAACTTAAAAACAAGTCATGTATTTTAAATGGAAAGAAAGTGTAAAAAATACAAAGGCAGGTTAAAAAAATATTCACAGCTTATGACACAATTATATATAACAGATTTATATTATAACGGATATATATATTACGTATTTAATCTTGCTTTGATCGTAAACAAATCCTGGAACAGTTGAATTTCATGTAGAATTTAAGCACATGTACTGACAATGTGAAATATGAAAACTTCTCCTGCTATGCGTGATTTGTGTCCTACACCAAAAGTCTTTCACCTTAAGTTACTTAGTTATTTAATAACTGTCAATTCCTTTTCAATCTGAATTCCGAATGGCATTATTCAGAGGACGTTTTAAATACATACAATGTAACATTTTATCAGAATGCCCAGCTACTTTGGGATCAAAACAAACAAAACAGCAGATATTCCTACATGTGGACAAAAAAAAAAAAAACGGAAGCATGTGGTCAGACATTTAAGCCTGATACCCGCCTTCATCGAAGAAAACAAACAAAAACAAGCCTTTTCCGTGCAGAGCCTTGCTTGTGAATCCGATGGAATAAAAGCCTCATTATAATTCAATTGTCTGTCCCTTTATTTTAAAAGGATGGCCCACTGAGTGTATTAGGGTTATGTTTCTTTGGTGATCAGTGTGTTCCATTATTCAAACCCCTGCATCAGTATTGCTTTGGACAGCAAGGCCAAGGAAACCTTTTAAGAGCTGGAACATTTTTCGCTGGGTCAAGATTTTTTTTATATATATTAAAAAAAAGCCAAGCAAACAATATTATTGTTTCATGACCATTAGGCCCTCAGTGAATTTTTAAGGGGGATAATCTAATCTTGCTCTTGTCTCTGTAAGCAGTATTTGGGATCTCAGCAACTAAAACCTCCCCAGCAGTGGGACTGAGCAACCGAGATTCTGCACATCTTGACTAATAACCCAATAATTATTATAAGTGTATTACTTGGTTATTGTTATCTATTATACATTTGTAATTAACAGAACGATTGATTTTGATTAAAATCACATCAAAATATAATGAATGTGCACAAGGTTTTTTTTGGCCCTGATTCACTGCAATTGCTGCATATTTATTTGTTTGTTTGCTTGTTTGTTTTTGTTTGTTTGTTTGCTGGGTTCATTTTGTTGTTCATGGCTTGATGAGTTCACTGTTCAGAGAAGCCTTTCTGCACCCTCCTGCAGTACTGGGCTGTTATTTTCGCACTTGTGGCCTCTCTGTTAGCTTAAATGAATCTGGTCATTCTCCTTGCCCTCCCTCATTAATAATTGGTTTTTGTCCACAGAAATGCCACTGAAACTTAAACAAAAAAAAAACGAATGTAAGCTTAAAAACAAGTCATGCAGTTTAAATAGAAAAAAAAACATATAAATAGCAGGGCTGGTTAAAAAAACAAGAATCTTCAAAGCCGATGACACCGATGACACATAAATATCATAGATTTATTCTTGTTTTGATTATAAACAGATCCTGGAGGATTGGTATTAATGCAGCAGCTAAACAAGCTGGCTTTGAAAAACAAAAAACCTACAGTGCTATGCATGACTTGTGTCATACACCAAAAACAACTGACTGTATTTTGTTCATCACGCATTCTCTGCAAACTCTAGACAGCATGATGTGTGAAAATCGAAGGAGGGTGACTCTTTCTGTGCTGCTGGAACCACCGTGTCTGGCAGCAACAACAATACCACGTTCAAAATCACTTAGATCAAGTGTCCTGGCTGTTCTAATACGTAGCTGGATGGTAACGGAACCTCTTGAGCCTTTGCAGCTGTCTGAAGGAGCAGGCTATTAGCATTAGCGAGTAGGTGTTTATAGTAAACTGAATGTATATATACGGTATATTGATATTAATGATGAAACAATACCTTTTTATCGTAAAATGATTGAAACGTTATACTATTACCACTGTTTTGAATCCACAGAGTATTCAATGATGATTGCAGCACATATTTTAATTATCGTTAAAAACGAATCAACATGGAATTCTATAAACTATTTAGCAATTCACATAAAATTATCTCATTTCATACGAGCTCCTTAGATGGGAGAGCGTGTTGTAGCTGGTCGAAACCCTGAATGAAGTCGGCGAACAGGAGCTGCATCTAAATGTGCTGCAAAAAGCCTCGATAACGATCAGATACGGGAGCCGCTTACGTCTCTGATACCTAAAAGCTTTTAAAGGCATTCGGCATCATGCATGGTCAGCTTTAAACCCGACGCAATACGCTGAATTGCAACCCAGTACCAAACCGCTCCTCAATTAAAGCCGCCACGTTTACATCTACGTATCACATGGAAACAGGCCGGGAATCGCTGAGATTCGTGCCATCAGGCAGACACTACGAACGGCCCTTGTCACCTTTAACCTCAATATTCTTCATTCATTAGCCCCAAAAAGAGATCAAATACAAATAATCCTCTTTTATTGACATATAAAAAATTCTGATTCTGTTATCTGGCCGTTGAGAGGACGCACACCTACCGCCATTTTGTCCTCCTGTTCTGGAACCAGGTCTTCACCTGGGCGTCGGTCATCTTGAGAGCCTTGGCCAGTGTGGCACGCTCCGCCGATGCCAGGTACTTCTGCCGGTGGAACCGCTTCTCCAGCTCACAGATCTGCACGCGGCTGAAGGAGGTGCGAGGCTTTTTCCTCTTGGGGGGCGTCCGGTTCTGATAGGGGTGGCCGATCCTTCGGGTCACGGAGAATGGCGAGAGGGCCGCTGTCGGGAGGAGGAGGAGGAACAGGGTTAAACACTCGGTGTCGGCCTGTCGGGTGACCCACCGGCGTTCTGCAAAAGAAAACATTCCCCATGATCATTAATTTTGGACATTTTTTTGAACGTGAACATTTCTGCTTTGTTTAAAGCATGATACGCAAATTAAGTTAGGTAGCTAAAAAGTGTAGTCAAGAAAACCACGGCAAATCAAAGCCTCTAAGGATGTTGTTATATATTTCTGTAACATATCAACAGTTTTCATAGTTTCTGATATTTTGATAAATCTCATGTCTCCCTTCAATTACAACAGCATGAGACATACTAAAACAATTCTCAAAAAGTATAGTTATGAATGTAGTAAACAATAATGTAAATTACTGAAGTTCTAAATTTCCTGGCATAAATCAATAGACATTACAAAACTCTAATGCCATTGCCCATTATGGGAATCCACTGGACTTTTATTAAATTATCCGCTTTTTATGATTCTTTCTATTAGCTATTTAAAAATTCCATGAAAACTGCTGTCTGGTCACATCGATTCAAAAGTGTGGGATTGACCTCGTGTTACACAGCAAGAGGAGTGGAAACATTGTATTGTTATGTACAATGTGTGTATCTACGGCACACACTGACATAACTGAAGAACACTTGTCCCGCAGGTTGACATTTAATAACATGGCTATTCCCACAGCTCTGACTCACGCATATATTCAATCTTGCCTGATTCCGTTGTTTATTTGATCATTGAAAACAAATCACCATTTCTTCGACTCATAACTCTACAGTAAAAACAACGACAGTAAATAGCTACAGCTGCTGGATTACATCCCCCATCCACTGCACATTTTGTTTTGTTTAACAAAAAAAAAAAATCCCTGGTGTTGTTGGTAACAATGTTCCTGACGAGGCCGTGCTACACTCATAGCTACGCTGTAACGTCGTTTGAAACTGAGGCGACGTCAATCCACGCTTGATATGACGAGGTTATTCATACACTGGCAAGTAGCATCAGGCTGCCAGCTTGTTTTAAATAACTTTCCCTGGATTGGACACTGAAGTGATGTGTGAAAAAGGAAAGATTATGCAGTTATAACGTTCCTCTGGTGGGGGCTTTTAGGGTTACTGCCACCCCCGGTCCTCTGGGGTCAACTCACCTGGGCAAACGCCCTTGAGAAAGGGGTAGTCCAGGAGCGGGCTAGCATCCCGCAGCACGGCCAGATCGGGGTAATATTGTTTGGCTAAAGCTTCCACAGAGCCCCAGGTAGAGGCTCTGCTGATCTCGCCCTCGGGCTCAGGGTGGAGGCTCCCTCCTGGGCCTCCTGCTTGTCCGTCCACTGCCTGCTCCGCTGAAGAACGACAGAAGGAGAGACGGTCAGGGTCCCGGTCCCAGGGGTGCCGGGGGGGTCAGGGGGGAGTCGCCACCCGGGTAGAGTGTGTCATCTAGGGGAACTTTGGAAAAAGCTACTCATGCGTTTTATTTGTATTTTTTTTTGTTTGTTTATGTAATTCTTAATGCAATGCCAGAAACTATATAAGATCCGGAAAATATAGCTAATTTATTTTACTGTAATTAAAAAGCCTCTTATAAATACACGTTCAAACACATAAATCAGAAGTGAAATATCTGATAATATACTAGCTGCTTGTATCAACAATGTAGCCTGATGAGGTCCTAAAGAAGTCATTCAAATCAGGCCTTTGGGCAGGGCACCTAATTTTTAAAGTGGTATTTTACTCTGTCAAAAGGCACATTAGAGATGATAATTTTTTAATATTGTGAGTCATTGTGCTTGAGGGCACCTGACATTTTCAAAGCTGTTTTGAACAGGCCCTCTGAAACATTAACTGGAAGCTTTGAAGTGTCTCTGAATGCGCTTATCCATTGTACACCGGTCGCTATCTCTGGGAACCAAAACAATGGGGAAGATGTGCATTTTACAGTGCTCCTGGTAGGCGACATCATTGCGGGGGCTGCTGTTTTTCTTTTTTTCTGTTTTGGTTGCCGAGGAGACCACCACGGACCTCTAAGCGCATCTGCGGTGGGCACCATAAGCAATGAGGCAATATGCTGACAGATTAACAGGCTGCACTCAGCCCGGGCCATCAACGTCAACGCCGCCAAAGACACTTCAGGGGTTGATGGGAAATAAACCGCTTCTTTCCGCCTAAATGACATTGTTACAATGTCCACCGAGATGCCACAGCATTAATCTCCTGTGGCCCATGTTAAAATGAGATGTCTAATTAAACTAATTAAGGAGAAATATACCCAGAATCATTGTGTGTTACATTTCCTAAAACAAAAAATGCCTATAATTTCTTCGACAAAAAAACGGGAGTAATTTTAAACCTCAGTATTGTATAACAATTCGACAAACATACCCCGTGTAAAGCTTATAAACAAACGCTGTGTAATCTGAAGACTCAATATCACACCTTTAAGGTCAACAACATTCTTCCTAGAGTTTCTTTAATAAACTGACCATGCCACATAAGTATATTAATTTACAAGCTGTAATTTAGGAAGAGAAACCTTGCCTATGGATGGATTTCTCGCTCCCTGGACAGATCATGCAGCATTAGATGTTGGTTTTAACACTACCTGGTAAAACTGAGAAAAAAACTACTCTATTTATACACCTTTTTAAGATTATTTCATCAAAAGCCTGTCGTAATCGATGAAACGTGTCCCGCATGCAGTAGTCAGGACACAGAATGCAATCCTGTAGATAAATCCCACCCTAATATCCCACTAACCTCGGCCCAAGCGCTCGTTAGCACTGCCCAAATGTGTTAGACAAGAAATAAAGCTCCTCTTTCTGAATTGTGTCGCCAGAACCGGCGATTCGTGTGAGTAATAAAATTTAGCATAAAAAAATATATAAACGCTGGCACTGAGAAATTGCAGGCTGTAACAAGATCATTGCTACTTAATAACACCTTCTGTGACACCGACTCTCCCCACTGTGAATATTACCTTTGCGACAATCCAATAAATATAACTGTGAAAGATTCAAAAGATAATATTGAAATCTACCAGCAACATCTGTTCCTATTTATTACACCTCCTGGAAAACAGTTTAATGCTGCCATCGTATATCCTTCTCTGCAGTGACTACGGGGGCTGGAGCACAAAAATAAAATAAAATAAAATAATAATAATCCACTTCTTGGGAAAATAAACAGCCTCTCTGCCAGACAATAATCCAGCTCCCATTTTCCAGAAGCCAGACACAATTGCCTTTCACTAAAATCAGTGTCACTGTCCTATTAGAAACCTAGCTTATATCAATCCACGTTTACTTGAGTGGTGGGGGGGGGGGGGGCAGAGGCATTATTGTCAGACTCCCCAGTATTCCCAGAAATGCAACATTTTATGCCAGCTAAGAGCCTGCGTGTAAAGTAATATCACCACCTGGCGTGTTAGATGGCTGTCCCACGGCAATGTGTCTGCCATTACACGGACAACGTGGGCATTTTCAGCCAAACTGCAGCGTGTCGAGGCCCACCTGGGCTCCATGACCCTGCAGGCTGCTCACTAGTCCTCCGGGCCGCCTTGCAGAGCACCGAGGTCCTCCAGACTCAGAAAGCAGAGCGGGGAGACCCTGTTAGTACCATTACCACTAATAACAAAGGAAGATGGCCTACTCGTCTTTAATTCCCTGCACCGGGAGGGATATTTCCAATATTGCTTTTGCAGTGAGTGCTGCAGTGTTCCACACAGTAATGCCGACAAGCACGCTTTACATAGGCCTTAGACTAAGTCCTTAAGCGATATAAACCGTACAAAGTGCCTTGTTTAAATAAACTGACCTGTAATTGCTATTGATTTCCCCAAAAACTTCACTCAAAAAATAGCATAAGACACAGATCTACTTGGTCAAAAGCTAACTGTATATGTAAGCATTGATCATCGTCACATTTAGTTACCAGCTAAGGCTTTTTTCCTTAATGTATAACAGGGCGAATTCTATTTCCGAATGCTTACGGCATTAAGTCTTTCTGGAAAAGCATAGAGTTAGACCTATTGAATGCATCGATATTAATCCCACCCGGAAAAAAAATCTTTGAAAGCTTGTACGCATTAGCGAATTTCAATTATGCATTATTATATATGATGCATTTAACGAATGCTACTGACAAATCCATGACTTAGGAAATATTTAGACATTATTACACCGTTTAGGGGGGCGAATAACCGAATAAGTCTTGCCGTTTGTCTTTAACATGTTTATATGACAACAATAGTCTTGCAATTTAATTTCCATGAGAACTGGATTTATGTTCGGATGTAAGCGAGGTAAAAGGCCTACATCGCTTCTTGTATGCGTGGCCATAATTTCAGTTTTATTCATGCTGGACTAGGAAATATGAAATGTAATATTTAACGGATAATAAAACATTCGGGAAGAAGCTTTTTCTCTTTTTTTCCCAGCCGTCCGTAATATTACTTTAAAGATTATTTCTTTTTTGGCTTGGAAAGTTTGATGTATGCTGCTCTGTGATTTTATTTAGGCGATTTTTAAATCGTTTGGTCAAGCAGAGTTTATAGAACGGAAATGGATGTGAGCCGTGGGTTTTAAAATGGCCTACAAGATGCAGATACTGAATAATCACTGAAATTATCCAGATAATTGCTGGATGTATTATTGTTCTGCGCTGGGGCGGTGATCGACAAAAGCGGTGCGCTTTGCAGCATGTCGCCTAATTCTGATTGTTCCGTTGTTCGCTTGGTAAAGTGCAGTATTTCATTAGTGCCGCAATATACTACACATTATAGATATCATAGCATATATGTAGAATAGCTGTGTTTCTGTCTGTCTGCCTAAATTCGTCGCCTACATTATTTTTACGCCTTTATGGATTTTGGGCTACTGTTCTGTTTTTTCATTTAGTGTGTTTTTCTAACAATAGAAATGTACGAAGAAGGCCTACTTACCTGTAATGTGGCCTCATTTACCGGGCTTACGGCACTGTTGCTATTGCAGATCTATCTGCATTATCGTGCCGATTCTAATTCAAATCAAATTAATCGTGTTATCTATTTACTGAAAATCTAATCCAATTCATTAGCCAATACTAACAACCGTCTTTATCCCGTATAGACTGAGAAGTCGAACTTACCATTTTAACATGAGACAAGCTTTAATAAATTACCTAAGAAGCAGAAACTTGCAAGCTGTCCAAATGGCTAAGAAAAGCAGGTGTACGGTTTCCGCACTAAAAGATGTTCAAATACCTTTGTCCTATCACATCCGTTAATCCCTATCCGTGATTTTATCCGTGCTGTGACATTTGCGGTAAATTTCAGAACAGCAATCTAATATGTAAGGGGAGCCCATTTGAAGGAGATGTTTTTTTCCTCTTTACTCGATGCTTTTCGGAGCTGTGCGTTTGTTTTACATTGTGTCCGTGCCAGAACAATTTTGATGTTTAGTTAATTGTGACAGAATGAATTTGGAATAGTTTACACTTAATTCTCCACTATTTAAAGTAGCTGTACTGCTCAAAATTCCCATCTTCTTTTAATTAATATGTAATATGTGTTCATTTTCCCCGCCACACTGACCAGGATAATTAGCTGAAATATGGATGGATGGATGGATGGAATGATATCAATATTCGATTTACATTAAGCGGCTGAAACATCTCACGATGTTAGAAAACGCACATCCTCCAAGCTTTTCGTTACTATACAAATCATGAGCATAAAGTCTTTAGTGTTTGTATAATACAGTTACGCTAGTGCACCATACCGCGGATATCTATTACCGATGCTATTTCAGCGGCTCATTTATGATAAACGTATGGCCCTTTGTGGCTATGAATATACTTCATAAGTATATTTACATGAGAGCTTTTTCAGCTGACATATCAATCCCTTCTATCAATAATTAATGAGAACCCTAGTTTTCTGAATATTAAACGAGAAGAAATCCATACTGTTCCCAGTTTTTACCTCTGTAAATATGTGTGACGTCAGTTTAGAGTCTTACTCATATTGCATAGACCGGAGTGAATTTAAGATCATTCATAAGGTGAGAGCAGAAAGAATCTCAATGACTGCAATGGTTTCCCTCTGACGGATGTCTCCATGAACTAATTATGACTTTTTATTGATTTTCTGTTTTTAATTGAGAATTATGATAGATTATTAAGATTACGGTTTCAGTACAATAAACTACAGCTCCAAGTGGGGTTTTAACTTGCATTTTATTATTATTATTATTATTATTATTATTATTATTTTACAAACAGGACACTTGTGTAATTTATCATTTTAAGACAGTTTATAATATTCATTTATATTGGGCAAACTTACGATGCAGGGAGAAAAACCATTAAGGAAATGATTACTATGTATTGTGTAAGAGGCATAACGGATAACACTATAGTGTTCATTTTATTTTATTGAAATACTGTGTATTCATTGTTGTTGCTGCTGCCGTTGTTTGTGCCATAATTATTCATGATTATAGGCTATTTGCGTTTAAGTAATGATGGTTACAGGTAAAAATTTATCTTTGAATTTAAATAATTATGTATATAAAACTACAACTATTAACAAACGTAATTTATTAATGAAAATAATTTATCAAATGAATCCTTCCTAATACTCTTTGGATTTACAGAATATACATTTAATAACCTAGAATATGATCAATCTTGTCATTCAAACGGCAATTAAAATCTCATTAATGAAACTTTAAAATTGATCCTATTCAGAGAAACATCGGTTCAGTATGGCCACACTAAGCACTGGGAGAGCTGCATAACGCACACAAACGTGGGACTCGTCACTGATACCGAACCGATTAATTTGCCCATTCAGAACGCACAGTGGAATGGCCCATTAGAAAACGCGAACCAGGGTGCACTCTGTACTGCGCTAAGAACATTTCCGGCACTGCACCTTTTAGGCAGAGGGAGTACCTGAAAGTCTGCTCACCACCCTGGGATTTCATTTGCACGTTTTTAAAGAGGATCGCACGAATAAGTCACCATCTGCAACTGAATTTGGATGAGACTTAAGCTGGTGACTGGTTATGCCGACAGTATGTGTCCCAGGGCCCAGATTAGATCAGAACCTCGCCTCACTACACAGTAACGCACACCAAAGTCCTTTTTAATTTTGCTACAGACTGCATGTTTGACATCTGAGCGCTGGTGTACGGCGAGGCAGGGGTCTCTGCTCGCTCCCCAAGGCTCGTACCTCGATGACTGGCCTTTCCCAGGTCAGTAGCAACAGAAGAAAGGCGAATGTCTGCGCAGCCATAACAAGATCAGCAGCCAAAACGGACAACCTCACACTATACAGGAAAAGAAACAGTATCTTTAAAATAATAATAATAATAATAATAATAATATGCCATATAGCCTAACTAGTAAAATAAGAAATATTAAATATACTAAGAACAATCTGAATATATGACCCCTAAGAGGGTCTAGTACTATGCTATTATTATTATTATTATTATTATTATTATTATTATTATTATTATTGTTGTTGTTGTTGTCCAATAAATCAGTGGGCGTTCATACATCTTTTATTTAAAAAAGAAAAAAGTACTCCAGATTATTTGGACCGTTCTGACAAAGGTTAATACTGGAAACGCAAAATTAAACACTTGTGGCTCGGTCAAGGCAAAGAAATCCGGCGCAACGGAAAACGAATTCGATTCGCTGCGCTGTTAAAATAAAATAAAATAAAAAAATAACAATAATAACAGTTGCACTTAACAGACGCTTCTTCGCGAAAGCAATTTAATGTCCAAATTAATACCCAAAGCAATTTAATATCCAAAGCTTGCCTGCTACCTTCAATCTTAATAGAGCAATTAGTTTATATCAGATGTTAAAATTGAACTGTAGCCCAGAAGTGTGACGGTAATTATTTTCTGAAGCTGAACTGTCGAAATGACACGTGTTCATAAAATCATGAATAATATGAAAACCACCACAACTACTATTAACTATTGTTGTTGTTATACTATCAGTTTTAATAAATGAAGTAGCATTGTTTTGTTCATTAACTGGGCCTAAGATGAGACAAACAGTGTTTGAATAAAAGGCACCATTGTGTGTGTGTGTCTGTTGTCAGTTGAGCTCTTTTAAAATGTGTGTTGACTGAATTAAAATGTCCATTTGACAGCTTGCACGACATTAATAGCAATACTGCCTCTTACCTATAACATTAAAGGCGTTTTGTGCAATATAAGACCTACAAAGGAAACCTTTGCACTGGATTCTGTATAAATTCGTGTTTGGCTCTTTCATAAGCCCATGTTCACGACCCGTATCATGGAGAAGAAAAAAAATCAAATGTGCAATTATTTAAATACCAAAATAGCAACAAAAACATTTTTTTTGCATCGGCAGTTTATTTTGAATGATGGTATTAAATAAAAAAACATGGACAGTCGTCTAGAGAAAATAAAATATAGGCCCAACTAATACTTTTTCTTGTTAACAACCTTGCAAACATAAAAAAAAACTAAACACAGACGCAGTTTGTTAAAAACGTCAACATCTACGCTATTCTTTGTAAATAACTAGCCTAATACGATTCGTTTGAACCTAATAACTGATCGTTCTGAAATAATGAAATGTTAACTTGGATCGAAATTTTGTCGACGACGGCACAATAACTGCACGTGCCACGAATGCGAGGCGTCATTAATTTTTTTTCCCCTAAAAAATAGATTTCAAAGCGTTTTTTTGCATAGAAAATGCAGTTGACAACAAACACGTCTATCGATGCTGGAAAAAAATGGCTTGCTGTCTTGTTAGAATGAGGAATCCGAGTTGTACACTCCTGATTTAATCTAGAGCGCTTCCTCGCAGCCCTATCTGCTATGTCATAAGCGGTAAACATTTTGATTCATAAGGCGTCGCTGTTTATTTAAAATGTACTTACAAGGGAAGAATCTCTGAAAGGTGGCTTTTAAATGCGGGATAAAGGGCTACTTATTAATCAGTTTGTATAATATTTTGGCTTTAGGCTAAATAACCATTTAAAATTCACTTTATTTGAAATGAAGCTAGCAGTGAGATAATCGGGACAATTAAATTTGCGCAGTCAAATTAGAGCGGGAATTGCACGCTACTTATGTAACTGATAATTGTTGCCACTGAAATCTGGAACGTGATTGTAAGCGATGCTCCTTAATCACCGTTTCTTTCCCAAATCTATAAATATGAAACCTTCTTACCCGTCAGCCTGTCTTTTGCGAATCTCCTACTGCTCTCCATCCACGGAAACGTAAAGTTCGCCACGTTCCCCATGCTGGGAACAGTGGGCACCGTGGGCATGCCCGCCGAGATGCCCGCTGGATGTGTCGCGGGAGACGGATGGGGCGTCGGCGGCATCGGTCTGTGGGCCGGAACCCGAATTACGCCACCAGAATTCCCCGAGTTCACGTTGACGTTCATGTTCATGCTTACGTTCATGTTCATGTTCACATTGTAGGAGCCCGCAAGTCCGGCTGCCATGGAGCAGGCGGGGTTGTACACGCTGTTGTAGCCGTTGGCATAGACATTGGAGGCCAGCTGATAGTCTGCTTCGCTGGTTCGATTCGGCAGCATACAGCTACTGGGCTGCTCCGTATTGTTCAGAATTTGATCTATTCCAAAACTAATGGGTTCGTGCTGTTGATGCGTCTGGTTCGCTTCTTCTATCCCAGTATGTTCCATTGTTTGTTTGCTTGTTATTTGCCTTTCTGTTACCTCCTTAGGGTTACAGTAAACAGGTGTTTACTCGGTGCGCTGCACAGGTCGGACAATTTAAAAAAAAAAAAAAACCCCACAAACTAATGAGCTGGAAATGGTGAACGGCCCACCTGTGTCCATGCGATGTCCCGAAAACGATGCGATTCTGCCGAGGCACGGTAATTAATCCATCGCGGTGAGGTCTCGAACTGGGGCCCTGGAATAGCAATATCCATTATCTATATGCATTGCTGAAGACGAGACTGGTCACGCACTTCTGGAAAAAAAACAACACAATAACTGGCAACACGCGATTAAAGAACGCTTTTAAAAACCAAAATCTGAAACTGAGGAGTTGCCAAGTTGACGTGAAAATATCTTGCCAAATGCAGCCGTATTTTCTACTATTTCCGCGCTAGAGAGGAAAAGGACGGCATTTGTTGTGCGACTCCATGAAAATCATGCGATAATACGAAATAAAACAGTTAGCCTATATCGGTTATAAGCATGTATATATTAATTTTTGAAAGCTGGGATTGCTTTGCTTTAGCGCTTGTCGGAGTGATTTTGCGCAGGTGAGACTCTCCCGCTGCCAAAACCCCGGGGTTCACCCATTCATTGGCTATTGAATTTCCAGAGAGGCAGGGTCTCTTAATTCGCTCTCACTTCTTAAAGACACAGTTCTCCTTTCCCCTCTCTCTTTGATTTTTAAATTTTACAAGCGATTTTTTTTGCAAAGCTGTCATCAAATAGATGAACTGTCACCCAAGAATGAAATGATCTCCTTTTTATTTGCATACCCATGTCGCGCACGGAGTTTTTTTTAGACACATGTGTTCTCTCGCCCATAGGCCTAAATAATTACTAAATAACGTAAACGCATAAACGTTAGCGCTTAATAAACGTGTCTTTGTATGAAAAGGCTGTAACCGTGAATTGATGCAGCTGCATTTTAATATGACCACTCACTCATGATTTATCTCGTGATGACAAAAAAGGAATTACCTTTATCGTTTCATTTTATATCACGTAGCGGTATAAACATGTATGAAAATGTCATTATTTCGTGCGACACGTTGAAACACGCAATATAGCGTCATGGACGCCATGAAAAATGCTTGAATGTGATTCTCAGCGTTGACTAAAGCTGTGATAGTTGATTTGAATCAGACCCGAATTTCCGATATCAAGGGTTAAAATCTCCTTTTCCCGGTGTTATGAATACCTAGTTGACTTTTACTCTATAGTGCAGGAATACATTATTAGTCGTCAATAACGTTATTCATAACATCCTATAAATTCGATGTTCATAAACTAATTTTTATATATTTATTCCGTAATTCCTAATTACACTGTGGACTTGCATGTCTGGTGCGGTGTGGTTAATGCATGTAAGTATGTAGGGTAATTAAGCTCGTTTTTGAACAATCATAATGCCATGCTTTAAAATTTACCGTAAAATATCGGCATAATTAATAATAACTATAATCGTTTCTCGCCATACAGGACTACTTCGCTCTTTTCAGTACGTCTACGCATTTGATAAAATTTTCTTTCACTGGTTATTTTTGGTTGCTAGAATTACTTAATTTTTTTTCTTCTTTTACGCCGGTACCGTTGCAGTAAAGCGCTTCAGTCTTTATTTGGAATTATCTGCATTTCTTTATTTAGCATTTAATCTACCATGCGGCATTCGATCCGTTTAGGGAAACACTATGGTTATATAACAAATTTAAATAACCACTTTATTGACAATATTGAGCACAGCAATGCTTAAATCACCAAAACCAAAAATTAGAGATAAAAGAGAAAAATGAGATTTGTCTTAGTGGTACAGCTAACAGCGATGCTGATTGGCACAAATAATTTAACCTTTCTCTGCCTGAAGCAAGACTTGGGATTGTTCAGTTTCAATTCAATAAAAATGAAATATGGGTTATAATAAAACCGCAACACGGGGAAAACGAATTTAATATATCATCGTTTTATTACGCACTTATTTCAGCTTTTGCGAGAATGAAAATAATTCTCAGTTGCTCAGGGTGGCTAGGGGAAGGGTAAAAATCAATTGTGTGTATTCGAATCTATATCAATAATGAACGGTGACGCATATTTCAGCTTGATGGGGAATTTATGTATAAAGCATTCACATGTTTTACATTTAACCGGTTTGGAAGGAAATGCACTCTTAATGTAAACAGTGTGGTGTCTGTGCATGATTCCATTTTTTTTGAAGGTTAAAATATGTTCCTGTAACGCTGGAGTTTAGATTAAATTAATATAGATATAATTTATGGTCTGGAAAAGATGAGTGTGTTTAACAGAGGAGTTTGCAGAAAGGTTTAATAATTACAGATAATCACGCGACCTTATTCTTCACGGATGGATTCAAAATGTATTTTAACTCATTACAGGGACTCGTATAACAATTTATTATCATCTGCTAATTCTCGGCAGAGCCGTGAGCGCTCAGAAAATAATGTGGATGTTATTCAACAACCTCACCGCAAATTAGTCGATCAAACTCATGAAAATAAAATCGCGCAGGACAATTATACGGATATTTGAATTACCACCTCAACAAGAGAACACTAAAGGAAGTCAAGTATGCATGGTCTCCATTAAAAACGAATCGGTAGCAATTAAAATAATTTTCGTTCTGAAATTAGAAATGATCATCTCACTGTCTCTATGCTTAGCTCGAGTTATCACATTCTCTTAAATCAGAAGGTCGTCCTCTGACCATTTAATTTCATTTAATTACACACAATTAGCTCTTGCTGTTAAAATTAAACCAATTAATATAAAATCAAAACATGGTTATAAAGCATTCTAATGTAGCATCTTCAACAATGGTTCGCTCAAGGCAATGAAGTTGGTTTATTAGTTTTTTTTAATCATTTAATATTCTGTAATAATCTCGAAGACGGTGATAGTTCACTGTTAACTCATAAGCCATCCGATACAACTTGAACTATGTCCATGATAGTTATAGCTAACCAAAATGTCATACATAGAAATAAAGGGCAACAGGGTAGTTTAATTTAGCAATCGTGCTATAAGTAGTTATAAGTCAATATATACGATATTTATATGCGTATTTTTCTGAATATTTAATGGTACGGTCATTCTATGGAACAGGTTACTTCAGATGCCCTGTTTAATGATGGTGTTCTCGTGGTAGGCCTGTCCATATGATTTTAAAAGGTGTGCTATAATTTTGTGTAAAATTGCGCTTTCCCGTCTATTAAGATATACACGACTTTCATTTATTTCCCATTCTCATAAATGTAATGCGCCTTCTTTGCCACGCGGCACCCCTCCCTAATCCCTCCCGTTAATTTGTAATATGAAAGCCTTTAGCTGGTTGCCCAGAGGCGCTGTCTAAGTTGGGTTCCAGCGTGTATCGAAGCCCGTGATGAATCGGTACCCCGAGGCGGTGCTCCTCTTCTGGGTAATAAAGTACGGGCAAAGCAGAGACAATGGGAATTTGTCACAGTTTTCCCCGAGTTGTGTGCGACCTGCCGCCCTCGTGCGTGTTCAATGTTCTTATAGGGATTAGGAAGCGACCACCATATGTTTGCACAAAAAACTGCAATAAAGACACATTCAAAGGAAAGTCACCCGTCAGACCTTAAGAAAACGGTCCGTGTCGACACTGCTTTAAAAGTACGATAAGGACGATGACAAAGCATTTCAAAACATGCCATCCATTTTTTTTTACCGAATTATATAAATATTTTGAATAGTCCTGTGCTCTGTCAAGTCTGTTTTTCAAATAATCATGCTGTACGTTCGGAGTCCCCCTTACTGATATTTGAAAATGAATGAAAGCAGCACTTGGCTCAGTTTGTAAAGCTTAAAACTTTCATCCAGAAACGTTACATGTTGGGGGTGATGGTGTAATAGTAGTATATGCTGTGTACGAAGAAATATGCCACAAGACGCCCATAAATGTAAATTAACGGCATAATCAAGACGTGTGACATCGCTACAGCACTACCGGTTCCTGGTTTTTATGATATCATCGTAGATACAGGCTATATTAAAATGAAATTTCATTTTGTAATGTTGTTTACTGTTAATGAAATAATAAATTCAATGCAGCCGATGCACGCTAAACTTTCAATAAATCACTAACATTATCATACATTTGACATTGAAGTCCAAGTTAAACTGTTATATATACATTTGCATGAGTTTTTTCCCCTGTGAAATACTGTATAAAACATTGGCGTTTCGATGATATTAATTAACTAAGCTGTCAGAAACTGAAGCGTCGGAATTGTTAAAAAAAAAAAAACTGAACCTAGAAGAAAAAGGCGCGGATTGACATAAGTCATTCTGCCTCTTGCCCTTTGGTACATCTGTTCCAAAGCCTCCCACACTAGGATATCGTGATTACGCTGATGCGCCTGTCATCCCTGCCCATTTTCATTCACAAGCCCCTCTGCCTGTTGTTCTTTCTGTGGTAATTAGGTTGAATTCAACCTAGATAGAATTACATTATTCTGCGTTTCGACCAACAGTCCTTGACTTTCTAGCTCCCCGGGGATAACCTGGCGCCTCCTGCCTCCATCAGACGGCTTTCGCTGGACGATACACTCGGAAAACGCTGAGTAGCAGACACGGGAGCCCCAAGGCAGCGTCGTGCGGGCCGAAAATCCGGCAATGGAAACATAAATACGGCGCACCAGAGAACGTGACGGCTTAAGCTCGAGTCCTGCATGCGATGATTGAAGAGCGAGCTGAGATTATGTATCTATTTATTTGTGTTTGTTTACGCAACGTTATCGTTCCTCGCCAAAGCCAAGTCCAATGACGTTAATTTTCACATTATGTGAATACATTTGGACTCATCCGGTCCTTTTTATTTAGAAATTTACGTTTGCAAAAACTGTCAGACAGTAGTTCAATTACATCCTAAAATAATGGGCTTTTACCGTGAAACTATATATATATATATATAATTGATATTTTTAATCGTAAACGTAGTAGTGTTAATCTCAGGACAGTTTAAAATCCATCCAGCCATCCATCCATTCTGGACAGGTTGCGGGAGAAGATGTTATATTGATATTAATTTTGCATTAATTTGTTTATAATTATATTACGTCTATTGTTTGATAAGGAATATCACGATTTGCCAGTAATCGTTATCATTGCCCATTATAATTTGACTATAAAGGTTATGAGTGAGACACTGCCACGTATCCAACACGTTTCTTTGTTTTTGTTCTTTATTGCACATTAAAACAGAAATAGCCTATAAGCAAGTTGATCCAGCAGGTGAACATATGAATATAAAGAATATTTTTGCCCCAATAACATCGCAATTTCAAAGTAGGTTGGAAATTTTCAAGGAATTTCCTCACGATTAGCCAAATAAAGAAATATATGCGTTTCATATAAAAGTGTAACTGCAATCCACACAAACATAGAACGCCATTTATTATGCAGTTCGGAGATCTAGTTTTCTCATGACAAGTTTTCTTGCTCTGTAGCAAGGGGGATAAAATTCTCTCAAAAGCAATACTCCATTGTAGGCTACGCATCTTTTGTTTTGTCCGTCACATACAATATTTCATATATATATTTAAAAAATA